TTTTTTTTTTTTTTTTTTCCTTCTGTTTTTTGTTTTCCCCATCTTCTTAGGCGGACTTTCATGGAATTACTTGTTATCCATTGGGCATCTAACGTGTCATGCATTAATCGTTATCAAACTCATGTTTAATTTATCCACTTGGTGCCCTTGTTGTCAATGATCTTTTGGGTTAACTTTATATGTGATGTGGCTTTATCAATATATATCACTTGTTGCAAAGCACAAATTATCGGTGCAATAGATGTTGTTCCCTCCATTCCCTGTCCAGTCCTTTAGGATTCCACAACGTTTAGAGAGGCAGGCATTACCGCGTTCATGCTCAATGGGAAAGCATTGAGCATCCAAATAACTTGGGCAAAATTTTCTGTGGTGGATTTCAGAGCTACCTTTTCAAAAGATAGTTTAAAGAAAAGTACAAATTTTGTACACTCACTTTTAAAGTGAAGAAACTCCTCGTGGTGACATTCCGAATATAAGAAAAATGGACAAAAGGACTGGGACAAAAGGGGTATTATTTTTCTGTCATCTGTTCTAAATCAGTTTTTTAAAATGCTTGGCTTCGTTTAATTTGCATTGCCCTGGGTGCTGGTGTTCAGGTTCTGAAAGCATGTTGAGGAACAAAGGAAAGAAAAAGTAGTTTGGTCGGGCCACTGATAAATTTGGGTAACTTGAAGAAAAATGCCCAGCTGAAAGATATGAAACCGGAGGCCCTGGATTGGCACTATGGTGGGTGAATGATCTGAGAATCATAATGTTTCAAATGCTGACCCGCAATGATAACATGTTGCAAATATTTTTGTTATGACTTGCCAGTTTCTGAACGAAACTGGGGGTTTGGATACCTGTCTCTGTTCCACGATGTCAGGGCGCGAACATGAAAGATGGAATAGGGTTTTTCCCTTCGGTGGGGGTAACTAAAACTAAGAAGAGAACTGCAGTTCTGAAGTCTGATTATCGAACTTAATAAAATTAATCATCTATTATAATGCTCAGGGGTACAAATAAGTAGTCAATGCTCTTCAGTTTGTCCCCCCATATTCACTTGATGCTTCGTATATTCATGCCTCTTATAATCAGGAAAAAGAAGAATCATGCTTATTATTAGGGAATGAACAATTTAGTTGAGAATCACACTTATGCTGCAAATAACACACACTTGCAACTTGGTAAGAGCACCCTTTCTAAATTAGAACCTAATAGTGAGTGGTAACTGAAGAAAGTTGTGTGTTTCTCAAAACCTCAATACAATTTTGACAATTTAACATAATTTTCATATTCCATAACCTTTTTTTACCACATTTAATACATCTGCTTATCATCGACACTGAAATAATAGGGTCATTTTGTGAATTGGCATTAAAATCCCTAAAAAATAAGCCGGAACAAAACATAATAGATGAATCATCTTTGGTTTGGTGAAAATCTTCACTGTACATGAAATACCAATCCTAATTTTTGATAGAATGCAGAATTTCATTCTTTTACTTTATTCTTTAATACTACATACTTATGCGTGGTAATGCTATATGTTAGAAGTACCTGAAACGTGCAGATCCATTTGGGCCACCAGATTTTGTGGCCTGCAAAACTCAATTAGAATCATATGAGCTTTCTTGATATGTAATGTTTAGGAATAATATAAATTTCTACTTTCATCTCAAACTGTCAACAAGTAAAACTCTTTCTCACCTTATCATAAGTCATAGCATCATTCATCGCCAAAGTCAATAAGGATGGAACAAGATCTGGGTTTGCCTGAAATCGGCACATCAAGAATCAATGAAGCATTGTAGGTTTTAAATCTGTAAAATCAGGTCTAAATATGCATTACATTAAGATCAATTTCATTAAGCATGATGGCGGGATTTACCTTTATAGCTGTAAAAAGGGTCCCCTTCACACTTGCTGTCAAAGAAAATATGTTAATTCAATAGACACCGTCAATGTTAAATGTACATAACTATTTGGTATCATTTTCATTTTTCATGTTTTCAGAAACAAAAGCAATGAAAAGTTCAAAGTCATCCATCACTTCCAAAATTTTTCTAAAATTTGAAAACAACTATTTGGTGTTTTCCTAAAACTGGGTTGCTTTCAGAACTTTTTTTCTGGAAACACTTTACCTAACAAGTTTTCTGTGTTTTTTGAAAAATGAAAACAAAGAATAGAAAACAAAAATGACACCAACAGTTTGGAGTACTTACACTGAAACTCAGAACGCTGTCTGCGCTGTATTAGATCAGCAGCATTAGCCTCTTCAACAAATGAGCCTGAGCTTGCTATTATTTCCTAGGGAGAGACAACAACTGGCAGAAACTTATCATCACAAATAGCAATCGAAGACAGAAGTCATGCATAATTGATATGAAATGACATTCAACATATATGCTAACTTTAAAAACAAGAAAAAAAATTCTTCAGCTGCAAACGCCTGTCAACTGACATTCATGAGATTATTAGTTACTAGAGCCAGCAATTTGTTCTTGCAATCAGAAACAATATTAACTAAATTAAATCAGAGACAGAATTAAATTATAATATCAAATACAGAGAGTAGAGATAAACTATTTCAAAACCTTAATAATTGATATAAAAAAAAAATGGTTCATGACTGAGTGAAATTAACTAAATTGCAGGAATATTATTAGTGTCCACCATAGACACTAAACATTCAGAAGGATCCATACAATATAGCAAGTGATAATCACTTGATTGCACAGGTGTCAGGAAATCATACAAATATCTTCAGAATAAATTACCCTTTCACTGTCTTCAAAACACGATCCTTATTAGAGAAGGTTCCCCTTCGAGCTGACCATGGCACCTCAGCCTTAATTAGAGCAGGAGCAGGTCCTACCTGGTTCATTGACAAAGCATGGTTTGATATTAACTCCAAACAGGAACTATTTACAGACAGACAAAAATTTACATTGCTTATAATGTAGGACTTTGGCAAGCTAAGAGACCAAGACACATAAGCAGCTGATAATGCAAAGACAAACAACGAAGTATGTAATATGAAAAATCACTAAACTAACAAATTATAGTAATTAACAACTATTAGGTGCATGTATTACTTACTAGCATGAAATGTATTCAAGTGCATAATAAAATCTGAGAGGCTCTTAAATAATTTCTTACAAAAGGCCGAAGAAAATGAACTAAAGAAACAATGGATCTAATCAGTACTTGGAAAGAGGCCACAGACACAGCTACAATTTACTCAACTATTTAATTGCAGCAACTGACAACAAAGGGCGGCACATAGAGCTTCAATTCCTAATTCTTTCATAAAAATAATGATTATTACAGAGATTGGTTGTCATGCAAGAAGTCAAGTAAAATTTCCTTCACCACATGTAGTTGGAAATATATTATAAAGGGAATACCAATATTAAAAATGATCAAAACATATTGGCAAGTAAACCATGACATATTTGGGGATGTGAAACACCTTGATTAATGAGTAGGCCAATAAATTATAGGACATGACAAAAAGTCAAATGTCCTGGCCGTTAAATGGTGTCTAAGAATCCTACAGAGCAATATAATATATATGTATCCCGAGTCCATTTGGGAGCCTGTAACAAACACTGCAGGTTACTTTGTTTAGAGTGTTTTGATAAAGTTTGTGCATACTACACAAACATAGCTTCAACAAGCTGAAAAAAATATGATTATTTAGAAGTATGTGGGAGGGATACTTTTAACTTCTACTTTCTGATTATCAGTTTTCAGCACAAAGAAGCTGCAAAAAACAGGGCCTGATATCACTCACGGTATTAAAGCATTTGGTCAGAATGAAAGGAAACAAGTGTACTACTCAGATAATAAACAGGTTGGTAATTGAATTAGTCCATTTGATTTACATTGAATTTTAACTAACAAAAAAAAGGAGAGTGATATTCTAAGCATAAAAAAAAATTTAGTCATCCAGGGCCCTTATTCTAGAATACCGTTGGGGCAACACTTATGTGCATATTCACTTAAATGCAATTAGGAGGAGAATGGACAAATTCACTGTTATATAACCAGGAAGAGAATATACATATTCAACTACAATTAAAAGAATAAACTCCACATCAATCCTAATGAAACGGGCAAAAGTTGGGAAGTTAAAGATGCATTCTGACCTTAAGCAGCTCGTGAACGAATTGAATAGCATCACTTGGTCCAAAAACCTGACAGTTGTTAACAACATCAACTTTATAATAGAACTCGGAAAGTGTGTTGACAAAATAGTTTTAAAATGAAGGCAAAAGAGATAGTGGACAGATGATATACCCCCCACAGGCCATCACAGCCAAGAATGATGAAGTGGTCTCGCTCTGTAAGCTTCGATGGAGCTTCGAAATCGGTTCGATCTGGAGCTTCGATGGAGCTTCGAAATTGCTTCGATGGAGCTTCGAATATCTGAATCTTCGATGGAAATCACTGAATCTTCAACGGAGCTTCGAAATCGGTTGGATCTGGAGCTTCGATGGAGCTTCGAAATTGCTTCGATGGAGCTTCAAATATCTGAATCTTCGCTGGAAATCACTGAATCTTCAACGGAGCTTCGAAATCGGTTCGATCTAGAGCTTCGTTGGAGCTTCGAAATTGCTTCTATGGAGCTTAGAGAGGGTTGAGAGAGAGAGAGAGAGGGGGCTCAGATAAAATGATGTATGCGTATGGGTTGAGAGAGGGCCAGATACAAAATAACGATGGAGAAGGGGCGTGCGGTACACCGCATTCGGAGGCGTTTTTCAACGCCTCCTATTATAAAACGGCACCGTTTTGGTTAAAAGAATATGCGGCGTTTATAAAAACGCCGTTAAATGTTAATAACAGTGACGTTCAAAAAAACGTCATTAAAAAAACGCCACCGTAACCCTTTTTTCCTGTAGTGTCTTCTTCAATTGTTGTTTAATCTATTTCCATCTTGATATTTCTCTCACATAGTTAGACGGCGAAGGTTTGAAATTTGTATATACACTTTCATAGCGCAAGATATATGTTTTGGTTGTTTTTTTGGAACTACTTTGGTTTATATTAATCAATAATTTTAATTAATGCAATGTATTTCTTGCTAGTTATTATATTGTTGAGGTGAGGGACGACGTCAAGCATGCCGTTTGCTTTCTCTGGGACAAAACGGTGATGTTTTTGCTAGAAGCATGTGGATCAATCTAAACCATAAATTGGACAACGTAATGAGGTGGCACAATCTCATATCATTGACAGGACCATCCAGTTTAAAAGCAAACAGGAGAGCAGTCAAAGAAAAATGAACGTAGTTTATATCAATCATTTTTGAACTGGTGTGATTTCGAAGCTCAATTTAATATTTTAACAATACACTAAAAATATATATTTTTTAAAATTTATTAATATTGTGTTTAGTTAGGAGATTTAAGAAGAGATTTGAAAAAAATAAAATAAAAAAAGATAGGTAAAATGTGAATAAAACATATATTTATTTCATCTAATTTCGCATACAATTTCTCTTTCTCTTTCTCTTTCCAAATCATTCCCCAAGTCTTCCAACCAAACACAGTGTTACGGATTAAGATTCCCTCCAGTTTAGATTTTGGACTGGAGAGCGCTGTTTGAGCCTACGAGGCCCATCACAGGTCCTGTTTCGAAGATTCGAACCGTTCATTTTGTCGGACAATTCTTATTTCATCCATAAAAAAATTAGATCAATCTAATACTTATAACTTGTTTAATTTATTTCATTTGTCACTAAAAAAATATATGGTTTATTTTTAAAAACTCAATTGTTGTCTATTTTTTTTAGTGAAAAATTGAACAAGTTATAATTATTGGATCGATTTAATTTTTTTTTTTTTTGTGGATAAAATATACGAAATGTCCAATAAAATGAATGGTTTGGATTATTAAAACGGGGCCCGTGGTGAGCCTCACAGGTCCAAACAGCACCCTCTAATCCAAAATTTGGACTGAAAGGGATCTTCCTCCTTTATTACAATATAAATTACCTTTTGTGATTTTTAAAATTGCATTTCGTCCCTTTAAATTGTTAATTCCTTAACAAATGATGCCTTTATTAATACGTTAATCAATTAACAAATTTTAATAATATCATAAATATATTTTAATTAACAATTCTGATAATTTTATTGTTGCAATAAGAGAATAGTTAAAAATTTTATTTTTTCTATTAAATAAAAAAAATTGACAATGAGTTATAATAATTTTCAAAATCACAAGAGGCAATTTATATTTTAAACCAATCTTAAGAGATGTATTTGTAATTTATTCATATTAAGGTTGGTTGAAAAAATAATAAATGCAAAAAATATAAATAAAAGGATAAATTAAAAATACACCCCTTAATGTTTGATTAAAATATGAATCGCCCTCTTGAGTTCTGAAAATTACATTTCACCCCCTGAGGTTTCTAATTTCATAACAAATCGTCCCTTCTAATTTTATCCGGTCAATTAACAATTTTTAATGATATTAGAAATATGTTTCAATTAATAATTTGGGTAAATTAAAAACACACCCCTGAGGTTTACTTAAATTACAAATTACCCCTTGTGGTCATAGAAATTACATTATGCCCCCCAAGGTTTCTAATTTCATAACAAATAGATCCTTTTATTAATAAATCATCAAGTTAATTAACAATTTTTAATAATGTTAAAATTTTATTTCAATTAATAATTTAAATAATTTTATTATTATATAGGTGAACAGTTAGAAATTTCTATTTTTCAATTAACTCTATTAAATAAAAAATTCTGACATGGAGGTATTTATAATTTTTCAAACTACAAGGGGCAGTTCGTATTTTAAGTAAACCTCAGGAGGTATATTTGTAATTTATCCTAATAATTTAAGTAATTTTATTATTATATAAGAGAGCAATTATGAATTTCATTTTTTTAGTTCTAATGGTTCATATGATCTACCTCAATTAGAGAATATGGATATCGGAATTGACAAAATCCGTCAAGAACCTTGGGTTATCATAGACTCGGATTTAACCAAACAAAAAAATCAAGCAGAGTGATCTTTATAGTGACAATGGCTCTTGCGATCTACCTCAATCAAAGATTGTGGATATTGCAATTTTTTGTTTGGCTAAATCCGAATCTATGATAGCTTGGGATTTGCCCAAACAAAAAATCAAGCACAATGAGGTTTATAGTTGTGGAGGGGTGTCCAACAGCTCGTGGGATTTAAACAAACAAAAAATCAAGCACACTGATGATTATAGTCATAGAGGGTTGTCCAACAGGTCATCAGATATAAGCCCTGATATGTGCAACGTTGGATTCAGAAATGGTTTGCTATTGATCGCCACATTGATCGCAACGATAACCTTCCAAGTTCCTTTTCACCTCCTTGGTAGCACTTCCAAAGAGGGCTATATACAGTATTCAATCACACGCAGGTGGTTCGTATTGTTCATTTTCATGGTGTTCATTTCGTCGGTTGGGGTCATTATATTCCTCCTGCATGAATTCCCACTAAAGCCGTAGCCTCATATCTCAATTTTAGCTCTATTTGGTTCTTATATGCCCTCATTGCAGGCAGTATCACCCAATGAAGCTCCAGCGTTGTTCTTCGCTTCAATTCCCATTTTGTTGGTTGGTATGTGCAGGAATTTTTTATGGCTTTGGAAACCAAAATCTGTCTTGATCACTTGAAGTGATGTTGCTTCTGGTTTATTGAAACATAAGGGTGGTTCGATTTAAGTTCGTATATGTATTCAATAATGACAATACGGCCAATGGAGTGACGATCTTCCTCGTGTCTTGTTTCCT